GAACGGATTTCAGAGCTCTGTGTCAGGAATGGGGGTCAAAGACCAAATATTAAAACAAAAGGTGCTCCTAGTGCTCTTATCACTTAGGAAATTACAAGAGTTTAGGAACTCTGTGCCAGGAATCACGGGTGAAACCCAAGTATATATTTATTATAAATCACAATACCACAGCCTTAAAGAAGTCTTCAGTTTTTATTAAAAAGTAATCAAATTTGCCTTTCCATTATGGCTTCTAGATTTTAAGTCATTCTTAGAAAGACTTTCTGTAGTCTAAGATTTTATTAAATAACACCCTGACTTTTTATTTATTTTTTTAAAGATTTATTTATTTATTTTAAAGGGAGAGAGTCCCAAGCGGGCTTGTGCTCGACTCAATCTCACGACCCCGAGGTCAGACCTGAGTTAAAACCAAGAGTCGGATGCTTAACATCAAGAGTCGGACGCTTAACTGTCCCATACACCCCATGCGTACCCCCACCTGCCTTTGCCCCATATGACCTCTCCCACTATTAACAACCACACCAGAGTGGTCATTTGTTATAATCAATGAACCTTAATCAATGTTCATTACCATCCAAAGACCATAGTTTACATTAGGGTTCACTCTTGGTGTTATGTATTCTCTGGGTTTTGACAAATGTATAATGTTATGTATCTACCATTATAGTATCACAGAGAATAATTTCATTGTACTAAAAATCCTCTGTGCTCCATTTATTCATTCCTCTGCCTGCTAACCCCTGGCAACCACTGATCCTTTTACTGTCTCCTTAGTTTTGCCTTTTCCAAAGTCATATGGTTGGAATCATACAGTATGTAGCCTTTTCAAACTGCTTCTTTCATTTAGTAACATACATTTAAGATTCCTCTATGTCTCTTTATGGCTTGATTGTTCATTTCTTTTTAACACTGAATAATATGCCATTGTCTGGATATAAAGATTATTAACCCATTCACCTCCTGAATGACATCTTGATTGCTTCCAACTTTTGGCAATTATAAATAAAGCTACTGTGAACAATTTTGTGTAGGTTGTTCTGTGGACATAAGTTTTCAATTCCTTTGTGTAAATGCCAAGGGGTGCAATTGCTAGGTTGTGTGATAAGCGTGTGTTTAGTTTTGTAAAAAACTACTCTACTTCTTTTATGATTTAATTTAAAATATATATTTAAATGTTATCCATCAAGAATTTATCTGATGAATGGAGAGTGGTAAAGATCCACCTTTTAAATTGTATTTTTACAAATGATAATCCGTTATCTCAATGTCATTTGTTGAGCAATCCATCTTCTCCCCATTGACTTGAATTGTGGTTTCTATTACATAATAAATTCCCATTTATGCTTGGGTCCATTCTTGTATTTTCCATTTGTTTATATTAAAGATGTACCATTTTAAAGATCAGCTATAACATTAAAAATAAAGAAGAAGAGGTTATTCATAAAGGGAAAGAGGGGAATAAGATGGAGAAGAGAAATAGAAGCTAGATTTCTTTGATTATACCATGTTTTTAGATTTGTAATTGGAATCCTGGAAATATTTTTGCATCATTATAAAACAAGATTATACTAAAGAAAGTAATCCTTTAAAATGTAAGATAAAATTAAACAAATGTTCTTTGCATTCAGTTGGTGTTTTTTTCCTAAGATGTTGGTATTTTTGACCCAAGATTTGTGAGTATAATGTGGAATGAATCAAATGAGTAATCATGTAATACTCTTATTTGTATCATCTTTGGTATCCTTGAGAACTGGGATTCTCAGCATGGGGGAAAGGAGATATGAATATAAGATAGAAGAGATTGTCATGACCTAATAGACCTGAATTGGATTGAAAGTATATCAGTATAAACTAATGAGGAATCTTACCTGAAACTTTTGGAAAATAAACTTCTAAATTATTCATAGGTTAAAGGGGAAGTCTCAGAGAAAGTGTTAAAATGTATAGAACTGAATGAGAAGGGAGCACAACATATCAAAATATATAAGACACAGGTAAAATAGTGGTGAGAGGGAAATTTATAGCACTAAATGCTTGTATTAGAAAAGAGAAAAGGTGTAAAATCAATAATCTAAGTTTCTTTAAAAAAACTAAGAAAAGCAAAATAAACCTACATGAAACAGAAGAAAGAAAATAATAAAGAACAGACATTAGTGAAATTGAAAGCAGGAAAACTGTTAACAGAGAAAATGAATGACACAAAAAGCTAATTCTTTGAAAAATATAAAATTGATAAACCTCCAGCAAGACTGACAAAGAGAGAAGACCTAAATCACCAATATCAGGATGAAAGGGGATATTCCTGCAGTTGCTGTAGCTATAAAAGGATAATAAAGAATTACTGCCAACAACTTTATGCTCATAAATTTGACAATTTAGAAGAACTATAGCAATTTCTCAGAAAGCACAAACTACCAAAATTCAAAGAAGATGAAAAAGAACCTGAATAGTTCTATAACCATTTTTTTAAAAGATTTTATTTATTTATTTGACAGAGAGAGACACGGCGAGAGAGGGAACACAAGCAGGGGGAGTGAGAGAGGGAGAAGCAGGCTTCCCGCTGAGCAGGGAGCCCGATGCGGGGCTTGATCCCAGGACCCTGGGATCATGACCTGAGCCGAAGGCAGATGCTTAACGACTGAGCCACCCAGGCGCCCTATAACCATTTTTTAAGTGAATTTGTAATATTAGTCTCCTGAAAAAGAAATTTCTAAGCCCAGATGGTTTTACTGGAGAATTCTATCAAACATTTAAATAAGAATTGACCCTATTTTCACACAAATGTCTTTCAGAAAGTAGGAGGGAATACTTCCCAGTTCATTGTATGAGGCAAGTATTATTCTGCTACCAAACCCAGAAAAAGACAGTACAAAAATATATATATAATATAGACTATTATCTCTCATGAAATTAGGTGCAAAAATCCTCAAAAAAAATTATCCAATTGATTCCAGCAATGTGTTAAAAAAATTACACAGCAGGTCAAAGTGGGATTTAATCCAGGTGTGGTTCAACATTTGAAAGCCAATCAATGCAATTCATCATATCAACAAATTAAAGAAGAAAAATCATAGGATTTTGTCAATTAAGGCAGAAAAACATTTATTAACAAAATTCAACACCCATTTATGATAAAAACTCAGCAACTAGAAATAAGGAATTTCCTTAAATTGATAATCTACACAAAACCTACAATAGCATCTTCTTAACAGTGAATGCTTTCCTTTCAAGATCAGGAACAAGGCCAGGACTTATTCAACATAGCACTGGAAGTTCCAACCACTGCGATAAGAAAAGGTATGTAAAGTGTAGAGGAAAAAATAAAATTGTCCTTATTTACAGATTGTCTGCATAGAAAATCTCAAAGAGAAGACAAAAACAATCCTCAGGTGCCTGGGTGGCTGAGTTGGTTGAGCATCTGACTCTTGGTTTAGGCTCAGGTCATGATCTTGTGGTCATGGGATCAAGCCCCACGTAGGGCTCTGCACTTGGTGCAGGGTCTGCCTCAGATTCTCTATCCCTCTCCCTCTGCTCCTCCCCCTACATGCGTGCACTCTCTCTCAAATAAATAAATAAATCTTCAAAACAACAGCAAAAAAAACCCTCATAGAACCAGGAAGTGAATTCAGCAGGGTTATAGGATAAAAGATCGACGTACATAAATGAGTTGTATTTTTATATACTAATAGTGAACATGTGGAAACTGAAATTAAGACACATGCAATTTACAGTTAATGCTCCAAAATGAAATCCTTAGGTATAATTGTAACAAAACATGTATAGAATCAGTATGCTGAAAATTATAAAATACATAAAATTAATTATAAAATACTGATGAAGGAACCTAAAGACCAGTCAAACATACCATGTTCATGGATTGAAAGACTTGTCATAGTAAAGATGCCCCTAATTACTCTATAAGTTTAATGCAATTCCTATCAAAATTCCAGCAGTTTTTTTGATACAGAGATAATAAGGTTATTATAAAATTTATATGGAAAGGCACCAACCCTAGAATAGCTGAAACCATCTTGAAAAAGAAGAATAAAGTGGAACTAATCACTCTGCCTAATATTAAAGCCTACTGCATAGCTACTGTAATGAAGAGGGTGTGATATTGGAGAGATAGATACTTAGGTCAGTGGAACAGGATAGAGAACCAAGAAATAGACCCACACAAATATAGTCAATTGATTTTTAACAGAGGAACAAAAGGAATTCAATGGAGGAAAGATAACCTTTTCAACAAATGGTATTGGAACAATTGGACATTCATAGGCAAAACCATGCACCTCAATTTAAACCTCATAGAAATTCAGTCCACGTGGATCATGGACTTAAATGTAAAATGTAAAACTATAAAACTTTTTAAAAATACTGGAGAAAAATCTTTGGGCTCTAGGGCTGACCAAAAACATGATCCCTAAAAGAAAAAAAAGTTAGACTTCATCACACAAGGGTATAAACACAAGTTACAGCCTGGGAGAAAATATTTGCAACCTACATATCCAGCAAAGGACTAGTATCTGGAGCATAAAAAAAAAACAAAAAACCTTTCAGGATTCCTGACTGGCTCAGTTGGTAGAGCATGTGAGTCTTAATCTCAGGGTCGTGAGTTTAAACCCCACTTTAGGTGTGGAGCCTATTTTTAAAAAATTTAAAAATTAAAAAAAACCCCTCAAAACCCAACAGTTAAAAACCAAACAATCCAATTAAAAAATGGGCAAATGACAAGAACAGTCACGTCAGCAAAATACAGATGGCAAATAAGCACATGAAAAGATGTTCAACATCATTACCTATTAGGAATATGTAATTTAAACATGTAATGAAATACCAAAATGGCTGAAATAAAAAATAATGACAACACCAGATGCTGGCAGACATGTGGAGAAATTGGATCACTCAAATATTACTACTGGAAATGTAAAATTGTATGGCTACTTTGGAAAACGGTTTGGCAGTGTCTTATAAAACTAACCATGCAACTACCATACAACCCAGCGATTGCATTCTTAGGCATCTATCCCAGTGATAGGAAAATTTATTTTCATACAAAAACCTGTATACAGTGTTCACAGCAACTTTATTTATAATAGCCAAAATCTGGAAACAATCCAGATTTCCTTTGACAGGTTAAACAAACTGTGATACATCTACATCATGGATACTACAGAGCAATAAAAAGGAACAAGTTATTAATACATGAAACAACTTGGGTGAATTTCCAGGAATTATGCCAGGTGAAAGAAGCCAATTCTAAAAGGTTACATCCTGTATGATTCCATTTATATAACATTCTTCAAATGTCAGAATTATAGAAATGGAGAACAGTTTAGTAGTTGTGGGGGGGCAGGCTATGGTAATAAAGTATCAGGAAGGATCTTTATGGTGATGGGAATGTTCTCTATTTTGACTATCAATGTTAATATCCTGGATAATATTGTACTACAATTTTTAAAATGTTACCTTTAGGGAAAACTGGGTAAAGGATACACAGGATCAGTCTGTACTATTTCTTACAACTGAACATGAATCTACAATGATTTTAAAATAAAAGTTGAAAATATAAAAAGTGGCAAATCATTTGGAAAATGGTTTGGCAGTTTCAATGAAGTTAAAAAATTAACCTATCCTATGACCTAGCCATTCTACTCCTGTGTAAATATCCAGGAGTAATGAGTGCATTTGTCCATAAAAAGATTTGTATAAGAATGTTCTTAGTAGCTTTATTCGTAGTAGCTGAAATTTGGAAACAATCCAAATGTCCATATGGAGGAGAATGGATAAACAAATTGTGGTATATTCATACAATGGAATACTTGTTACGAAAAGAAAAGGAACTGATACACACAAAATATGGATGAATCTCACAACCATTAAGCAATGGGAATTGGATACAAAAGAGCACATAGTATATGATTACATTCAGGAAGCTCAAGAACAGGCAAACTCATTGATTATGGTAGAAGGTAGAACACTGTGTACTGGTAACGGGGGCTGGTATCAACTGGAAAGAAACTTGAGGGAACTTTCTGGAGTGACAGAAATGTGGCTACACAGGTATAGATATAATGTTAAAATTTATTGAGATCTATGCATTCTATGTTAATTATATCTTAAACTTTATTTACTGTAGAACAAATCTCTGTTCATTGGGGCAAAAGACATGTCAACTGATCCCACTGTGTAGACTTTATTTGACTCCTCTCTTAGACAAGCTATAGAGAAACCTATTTATGGCACTTAGGAAAAATTGGAAAGATGAGTTTATAATTGATGACATTAGGGAGTTGTGAAGTTTCTAAGTATAAAATAATAATTATTATGTTAAAGAGTTTTTGTCATTTAGAGAGATATACTGAAAAAAGTGATATAGCTGGGATTTGCTTCACAATAAAACAGATGAGGAGTGGGAGGATATAAATGAAACAAGACTGGCCATGCATTGATTTGTTTAACCTGCACGACTGGATTAATTATCATCTATTTTTTAACTCCATGATTTAAAAAAGTTTTAAAATATGAATAAAAGTTACACACAGGTAGCTTTATTATTACCAGTAAAACAGAAAAATTGGCTTCTGAGATAGTGTGCTCTAGGATGCTCAAGGGCTGATAGGGACAGTTAATGCCTCAAACAGAATCTTGCTTGCCTGCACCAGCTGTCTTCATCAAGGAGTGAGGATCTCCAGGGGTAGAAAACCACCCTATACTCAGTGGACACCGAGTGTATAGCTAACTTATATTTGAGTTCTTTCAATTAAATGTGTTTATGTTAGCACATACAGACACATTATATCTCCATAAATTGTCCACCTACTTTAGCAAAATGAAGCACTGGGATCAATTATTTTTTTCAACTTTCATGTGCTCTCCTGTTTTCTCTAAGGACCTGATGTTATTTTATGAGGATGATCCAAAGCCACTTTTGCCGACAATTCCTCCTTCCAATATCTCGTCAACTAAATGGTTATCAGAAGGGCCAGCAGACGTTTGTAACCTCTGGGATGCAGGTAAATTGGTTAAAGAATAGAAAGGTTACTCAGAAACATGAATAAGAAATATTAGGCAGGAATTGCTTTACATCAGATTTTATTTTGTGAAATATGGCAGCAATGGTTTTAATTTAACTTTGATAATGAGGGATGGGACCAGCATGGATGAATTTAACCCACACATGATCCTGTGATCTTATTTTACCATTTGTTTCAGTGGGGTTTCATTCCCTCTATTTTGCTTTTTTTTTCTTTTTCATTGTTTCAAAAATTATTAACTGCAAACCTCGAATCTCTTATGCATGGTTTAAAATGCAGAAAAATAAGAGTTCTTTTTTTCATTTGTACTAACTTCTCTTTGATAAAGAGTTTAAATTAGACATTTTTCATAAGCAAGCATTAGACCAAAATGTGAAAAGCAAGATGTACGGCATCCCACAAATTGGCTAATCACCTCTTGAGTAATTAACATTAGAGAAAGCACAGTATAAAATGACACAACCTGGCCTCCAATAAATTACACTATCCAATTCCAACTGGGCTCTGCTGCTACTCAAGATCTGATTGATTCACAGTGGAGCCACTCCATACTGTCCCTATTCTTCAGAAACTCTCAATTTTTAATACATCCTTCCTCTTACTTTTCTCAAAAAATAGGACTCAGGACCCTCTGCCAAGAGGAGAATGAAACATTATCATTAGTATCTTTCATCCCTTCATTTATCTTTGCTTTTATATTCATCCAAGCATCCTTTCCCTCACTGCAGAGGTGGCTCCTTATGTTGTGTTTCATCTTCTCCCTCATCTTTGGGCCACGTACTGTGATTTTCTCCTTATATAGATCCCCAGTATCCAAAATATAAAAACTGTAGTTGATTAGAATAGATTTATTTTACAGATTCACATTTATATAATTTTCTTATAAACTAGTCATGAGAATGATGATGAAGACATTTCAATAAACACAGAACATGAAGTTGTGGGTTATGGTGATATTTGTAGTACAAGGATGGTATTACTCACATGGATAATTAGTTGTAAGTGGTTACCATTTTTAAGACAGCTTGCTCTGTATTCTTAGAATACACTTGATATAAACTGATCCAGATCCAGAAGCTTGAAAGAAGAATGGTAAGGAAAACATTTTTTGATCTAATGTCCCCTCATATCCCCCCCCCAACCTTTTTGAAATAGACTTCCACTTTTTAAAGCATTTTTAGCTTCACAGTAAAATTGAATGTAAGGTACAGAGATTTTCCCGCATACCCCTGCTCCCAAACAAGCACAACTTCCCCCACTACCACCACCTCACATTTGTTGCGATCAGCAAACCTACATTAACGCTTTATCATCACCCAAGGACCATAGTTTATATTAGGGGTCATTCTTGGTGTTGTGTATTCTTTGGGTTTGGACGAATGTATAAAGACATGTATCCACCACTATAGTATCATACGAGTATTTCACTGCCCTGCAAAACTTCTGTGCTCTGCCTGCCATTCCTCCCTTCCTCCTAACCCCTGGCAACCACTGATATTTTAACTGTCTCCATAGTTTTGCCTTTTCTAGAAAGTCGTATAGTTGGACTCATACAGGATATAGCCTTTTCAGACTGTCTTCTTTTATTCAGCAGCGTGCATTTAAGGCTCCTCCATATCTTTTCATGTCTTGATAGCCCATTTCTTTTTAGTGCTGAATAGGATATGCTAGGGTATTTATCCATCCACCTGCTGAAGAACATCTTCGTTGTGTCTAAGTTTGGGCATTTATAAATAAAGCTGCTGTAAATATCCATGTGCACGTTTTTGTGTGGAAATAAGTTTTTCCTGCCAACATTATAATACAAGTGAGATGGAGTATAAATGAGCCTAAGAGGCAGCGCTTAAGAGGAAAAAAGTCACAAAACATGTCAAGTGAGGGATGATTCCACCATGTTACTTGGTTGGAACTCACAATTGGAGGAGCTTTTCTTATTTTTGAGTCTTCCTTTTCTCCCATCTTTACTTCACACCAATCTCAGAGATATCTTGCTCAAGTGCAGTTCTAAGCATTTCCCTTCCCAGCTTAAAAATTTTCCACAGTTTTCCACTGCCAGTAGGATGTCTAATTTTTTTAGACATATGAGACTGTCATAAGAGACTTTTCATGGCCTGGTCCCAGCCAACCTTTGTGACCTCATCACCCAGTACTAACTATTCACAATGCTCTGCAACATTCTATTACTTGTATAGTTTCTTCTCCTTTGAAAGTCTTTGTTCCAGTTACTTCGGCTGTGCAACACATTGCTCTAAAACTTTGTGGCATAAAATAACCATTTATTCTGCTCATGGATTCTCTGGGTCAGGAATTAGGACAGGGCACAGTGGGGATGACTTATCTCTGCCCCATGACGTATGTTTGGGCCTCAGCCCGAGAACACAAAGGCTGGGGACAGGAATCATCTGAAGGCGTGTTCACTCATGTGTCTGGTAGTTGGTGCCCACTGTCGGTTGGGGGCCTCAGTTTTTCTCCACATGGGCCTCTTCTTGTGGTCTCTCCACATGGGGTAGTTTGGGCTTTCTCACAGCATGGTGGCTGCGTTCCAAGGGTGAGCATCCTGTAAAAGAAAGGACTAGGCATAAGCTGAATAATCTCAGAAAATCATGCTGTGATACTTCCTTCCCATTCAGTTCATCAAAGCAATCACAAAATCTTGCCCACGTTCAAGGGGAGGGAGTGTAGACCCCCACCCTCTTTGGACAAGTGTCAATGTCATATTGAAAGAAAAGCACACAGGATGGTGTGTGTGTTAGTACAGTCATTTTTGGAAAATACAGTCTGCCACAATCCTCCACCAAATTATGGATGCTTGACAAAATCCTATTTAAACAATGAGGCCCAGCTCAAATGTCACTATGCTATAAAATCTCTACATACCAATTTTTCCTTTCACTGTGTTCCCATGGGACTTTGCCTATAACCTTAGATACGAATTTATAGTTGTGTATCATTTTATAAGTTTTATCTATTTTTAATTAGATAAATAATAAGTGAATGTATTCTTATTTTTTAAAATTCAAGCAATATAGAGTCAAAATCCTCCTTGACTGTCCCTTACCCCAACACAGTTCCCTCCCCAGAGTTAACTGTTATTATCAATTTGTTGGTTACTCTCCAGGTCTTTCTCTGTGCATTTATATTTATACCTGTACCTTTAAAAGTATGGAGAACTGACTTTATTTTGATTTAGAATGTTGTTCTGTATTTTTCTGGAACTTTTTAAAGCAATATCACTTGGCGATCCTTCAGTGTATGTCAATATTTAGAGATTTACCACATATTTTTTTAACTCCTACATTGCCTGGATATTATAGTTTATTTCCCTGCTAATAGACAGTTGGTGTTTTATATTTTTCACTATTACAAATGATGCTTCAGTGAATAGCTCTGTGCACATATGTGGGTGTTTCTTTAGGGTGGATTCCTAGAAATGGAATCCCTGGGTCATAATGTATGCCCATTTTCATTTTAGTTAATACTGCCAAATAGCCCCTCAAAATATCAATACCAATTTACATTGGCTTGCAGTTTATAAGAGCACTTATTCACTCATAACCTCACTGGCACTTGATATTTTTCAAGTCTTATATTTTTATCACTTGGAAAAGGTTGCATTGCGTGGTAGGTATAATTTGCATATCTCCATGTATTTCCTCTTCTGTGCATTGCCTGCTTATATCCTTACTCTGTTTTTCTTTTGGATTGTGTGTTGTATTCAATTAAATTAAGTGACTTTGTAACATTTTTATATATGTTGTTAACCTTAAGAATAAAACCTGCCAGTTATTTTACCAGCAAAAGATGGGGTTATTTGGGAATAAAAGAATTGCAATCCAGGATAAACAAGTGGTGGCAAAACATAGGCAAGTCCAAGGAACAAAGGAGAGGTACACTTTCTTAAGGAGAAAAGGGGTAGTTGGGAAGGCTGTTATAAGCTAAAAAGTCCATTGGAGTAAACTGAGAGTTACAAGTGTAGGGGCTTCTCATTGGCTGAGCTGTTGTTGGAGGGGAGGGGGATAAGGAAAGCGTCTCTTCCTCCACCTAAATGGTAGAGTAATGTGCACATGCAAGATCAACTCGGACTCTTCTGTTGCACCTGCAACTGACTGGAGTGGTAGGGTGTGAGAGCTCCCTGGGGAAACCTCCAGACTCGGTTTTAGTGAGGGTTCCCCGTTACTAATTTCCAGTTACTAATCCTTTCTGTTATTTATGTTGCAAATATCATCTTCTAGGCTATGAATTATCTTTCAGATTTCTTTATGGAAGATTTTTGTTTTGTTGTTTTTGTAGAAGTTTTATGTTTTATGTAGTCATATGTATTATTATTTCCCTCCAGAGCTTTTGTTTTTTGTAAATTTATTTTATATTGAAGTATAATTAACATACAGTGTTATGTAAGTTTCAGGTGTACAATATAATGATCCAACAATTCTGTACACTACTCAGTAGTGCTCATCACGATAAGTATAGTCCTTCTGTCACTGGACAACATTATTACAATGTTATTGACTATATTTCCTGTGCTGTACTATTCATCTCAGTGACTTATTTGTTTTATAACTAGAGGTCTGTACCCCTTAATGCCCTTTATCTATTCCATCCCCCTACCCACCTCCCCTCTGGAAGCCACCAGTTAGTTCTCTGTATTTAAGAGTCTGTTTTTTGTTTGTTTGTTTGTCACTGTTTCTTTCTTTGTTCCTTTGTTTCGTTTCTTAGATTCCACGTATGAGTTAAATCATATGGTATTTGTCTTTTTTGGTCTAACTTTCCAAAGAACGCACACAGATGGCCAACAGACACATGAAAAGATGCTCAACATCAGTAATCATCAGGGAAATGCAAATCAAAATCACAATGAGATATCGCTTCACACCTGTCAGATGGCTAGAATAAAAAAGGCAAGAAATAACAAGTGTTGGCAAGGATGTGGAGAAAAAGGAATCCATGTGCACTGTTGGTGGGAATGTAAATTGGCGCAGCCACTGTGGAAAACAATGTGGAGGTTCCTCAAAAAATTAAAAATAGAAATACCATATGATCCAGCAATTCCGCTACTGGTATTTACCCAAAGAGGACAAAAACAGAAATTCAAAAAGACACTTGCACCCCTATGTTTACTGCAGTATTATTTACAATGTCCAAGATATGGAAGCAACCCAAGGGTCCATTAATAAATGAATGGATAAAGAAGATGTGGTATGTGTGTGTACATATATATATATTCATATATATATGAATAATATTCCATTGCATATATATATATACACATATATATATTCCATTGTGTGTATGTGTGTGTATACAGTCATAAAAAAGAAAGAGATCTTGCCATTTGCAACAACATGGATAGACCTACAGGGTATAATGCTAAGTGAAATAAGTAGAAGAAGACAAATACCATATTGTGTGTGTGTGTGTGTTTTGTTTTGTTTTGTTTTAGAGAGAGAGAGAGAGAGCATGTGCACATGCATGCAAGTGGCAGGGCAGGGGAGCAGAGGGACAGGGAGAGACTCCTTGAGCAGACACTCTTCTGAGTGGGAAGCCCAACTCGGGGCTCAATCCCAGGACCCTGAGATCATGACCCAAGCTGAAATCAAGAGTTGGACGCCCAACCAACTGGGCCACCCACGTGGCCCTTTGTGTGTTTTAAAGAAGGCTTCCCCTACACCAAATTCATAGTACATATTCACCCATTTTTTATTTTGTTTTAGTGCTTTAATCCATCTAGATTTAAAGTATTTGTTATTGGTTCTAGATATGATGGGCAGCCAGTTGTCTCAAGAATATTTATTGACTAGTTCATTTTTCTCTACTGTTTTGAAATGACTTTTTAACCTGTACTAAATAGTATCTGTTTAACAACTCTGTTCTGTTCTGTTGATCCATTCTTCTGGTCCTGGTCTGTTTAATTTTTTGTAACTACTATAATAATATGCCACGAATGTATTCTATTTTACTTAACCAATATTACATTAATAGTAACTTAGGTTATTTCCATATTTGTACTATTATAAATAATGATGAAATGACATCTTTCTCCCCTCTCAAATAAAGTAGGTTTTTTATTTATTTCATCATTCTTTATTTATATTATTATTTTATTTTTTCACAATTGGATGCAGATTCTAAGATACATTATTCTGAATTTCTGTTGATAAATTCTGTCCAGTTTACAACTTATCCTGTCGTCAAGTGGTTCTACTTTTCATGTTATAATTTTGGCAACTTCAGCCCAAGGCAAAAATAAAGGAGGAGAGGAGCAAGATGGTGGAGGAGTAGGAGACCTAAATTTCATCTGGTCCCAGGAATTCAGCTAGATAGGGATCAAACCATTCTGAAACCTACGAACTCAACAGGAGATTGAAGAAAAGAATAGCAGCAACTCTCTGAACAGAAAAGCGACCACTTTCTGGAAGGTCTTTTCTGATTTGTTTAGTGTATATTTTTCTGGGGTCGTTGTTACCCTGTTAGCATTTTGTTCTCTTATTCATCTCTTCTCTGGACAAAATGACAAGATGGAAAAAATCACCTCAAAAAAAACCAAAAACAAAACAAAAAAAACAAGAGGCAGTACTGACTGCCAGGGACCTAATCAATATGGACATTAATAAGATGTCAGAGTAGAGTTCAGAATGACGATTTTAAAGATACTAGCTGGGCTTGAAAAAAGCATGGAAGATATTAGAGAAACCGTTTCTGGAGAAATAAAAGAACTAAAATCTAACTAAGTCAAAATAAAAAAGGCTATTAATGAGGTGCAATCAAAAATGGAGGCGGGCACCTGGGTGGCTCAGTTGGTTAAGCGACTGCTTTCAGCTCAGGTCATGATCCTGGAGTCCCGGGATCAAGTCCCGCATCAGGCTGCCTGCTCAGCAGGGAGTGTGCTTCTCCCTCTGACCCTCCTCCCTCTCATGCTCTCTGTCTCTCATTCTCTCTCTCGCAAATAAATAAAATCTTTTTTTAAAAAAATTTAAAAAAAATGGACGCTCTAACTGCTAGGATAAATGAGGCAGTAGAGAGAATAGTGATATAGAAGACCAAATGATGGAAAATAAAGAAGCTGAGAAAAAGAGAGATCAACAACTACTGGATCACGAGGGCAGAATTCGAGAGATAAATGATACCATAAGATGGAACAACATTAGAATAATTGGGATCCCAGAAGAAGAAGAAGAAAGAGAGGGGCAGAAGGTATATCAGAGCAAATTATAGCAGAGAACTTCCCTAATTTGAGGAAGGAAACAGGCATCAAAATCCAGGAGGCACAGAGAACCCCCCTCAAAATCCATAAAAATAGGTCAACACCCCGACATCTAATAGTAAAACTTGCGAGTCTCAGAGACAAAGAGAAAATCCTGAAAGCAGCTCGGGATAAGAGATCTGTAACCTACAATGGTAGAAACATTAGATTGGCAACAGACCTATCCACAGAGACCCGGCAGGCCAGAAAGGACTGGCATGATATATTCAGAGCACTAAATGAGAGAAATATGCAGCCAAGAATACTATATCCAGCTAGGCTGTCATAGCAAATAGAAGGAGAGATAAAAAGCTTCC